CACAACATATATATATATAATATACAGTATATATATATAATATATATATATATATATATATATATATATATATATATATATATATATATATATATATATACATACATATACATATACATACATACATTTATATACAATGCAGTGGCCTGATACACTTAGCAGCAAGAAAAAACAAACTCACCTGCGTAGCCAAATAGTCGTGACGCAGCGGACACAGGCACTCTTCTGGCTTGTGCACTCGATCCCAACCCTTCATGGGTATTTAATAGCTGTTCTAAACTTGCAGTAGCATCCTTGGCTTTACCGTCTTTACCGACTGATGACAGAATGTCTTCTCCAGTAGGTTTGGTGGCTTCATCTAGGGGTGTATTTGCACCACTACTTGCGACATTGTCTTTGAGGTCGATGTTCGGAAGTGCTGTTGGTTTCGAGTGATTCAATCCCTCCATCTCCGACAGCTCTTCCCCTGTACTAGAATTCCCTGCTACGGTAGATCCCAACGCCTTCTTGCGGCATTCTTTCTCTTGTGCAGCCTCGAGCACAATGCCCTTATCTAACCCTACGTTCGCAGACGCAGCCACAACATCCTCTACTTCATCAGCGATACTTCTGCGCGGTTGTGGGTGTGAATCGGTTTGTTCACGTGTATCTATGTGAGTGTATGATGGCGCGGGTATAGACTCTCCCGCTAGAGGCGGTGGTACATCTGAGGTGTCGGTTGACGCCTTCCCACCACTGAACCACTCGTCGTCGTCTGCGATGTGTGCCTGTGCCTGCACATGCGCAACATTGGCTTCCGTCAGTCTGTTAAAGTATGCTTCTGACGTATTTTTATGAGCGCTATCATACACAGGTACATTAGAGACCACATCTGCCTTCACTTCGGGAGGTATTCTCCCATCCACCCGTGGTTGTTCTTTATTTTGTGTTGAATGTTCCTTCCGCAAATGTAGCTTAGTGTCGATTAGTGTATGGGAGAGATTCTCGACATCGTCCAGTGTGTGCAAGACACTTTTATCTGGATGTGTGTATGTGTCCGAATGCAGGACCACCCCTCCGGACAACGGAATGAGCAAAGAGGGGTTTAATGGTTGACGACTCAGCACCTTCACCACGCTACCAATACCACTCACAAACCCCACAGCATCTCTAACGCATCTGTGTGACATGTCGGCAGCACCTTGGCAATCCTTATACTTATTAATCAGTCAAGGTCCTAAATTAATCGGCTATGAAAGCAAATGGTCGAGTGTATGACTATCACGAACGTGCACTATAATGGTACGTGGGCATTTCAGAATCGAATCTGATAAGATAGGCGGTGGTGGGTATGCTCGTAGCTAAATAGCGGTTATATTGAACTGCTATCACTAGAATTATCACTGTATGTAAACGCACTTGATATTTCAACACGTGTGACAGTATAAGTTGAGCACCCTTCGTCAGCACCTCTACGTGTACGAATAATGTATAGTGAGTGTAGTAAGCATTAAGTATTGCTAGAGTGAACGGTGGTTATATTGGATATTGCGAATAAAACGATGCACACACAGGGAGGAATACAATGATGAACACAATAGTAATCATCCACCATCCCAAAGAGCCAGTCACGGACATATCTGTGGCATTCTGATACAAATAAATGCCAAACGTCAAATGTCATATCACATGAGCATCTTATTATATGACTCATATGTATAAATATAGACAAATCCAAAACGTAAACGCAAAAAAGAATTGATATTTATACGTTTTAACGAGAAAAACGATGAGTGCTTTAAAAGTACACTCTAAGTCTAAACGTTTACTATTGCAAAACCGATTGACTTCAAACCGGTTTAACGCGAACTGAGAATACACGCTTTTATATTTATTTTATGTGTAAATACGATGTATAAATAGATAGCTGGTGCTGGGTGCAGCTGGAGCTTGGTGCTGAGATGAATGACTTTCGTGTGGCCTGTGCGGTGGGCTATAGACTGTGCAGTGAGAGTGTACACGAGTCAGTCACACACGAAAGTCTGATGGCCCGAACATTGCTGTCCAGCGCAGCTCCAGTACTTTACTTCAGCATGTCTCCGTTGATTTGCCATAGTAGAAGTTGGTACCATGCCGCTATAACCTAGGGCATGACTAGCTGCATGCACACCTGTTAAGTGTATGAAAGTACACCACCATACGGTTGTTCGTCATAAGCCAACTCCACCTTTAACGTACAAGATGATATATCCCGTGCGTATAGACCGGCTAGTGATTCGAAGTGTTATGTTGCAGGTGCTCGCATCAGTAGCACTCGCAATCGGCGCTGCTGAACTTGCCAGTAAACTGAAGGTGTGCATAGAGAAAACCTCAGTCGAGGAAACCCTAAACTCCTCAATCGGCACTGCAATTGCAAAGCTGTACGATATGCGATTTGAAGCTCTAATTTCGCTTATACTGGCTTGAGTATATGTGTTGCCTTACTGCCAGTACCTAACTTGCTTGGTGGAAGAGCTTGCAACATCGCTACTGCGCTGGTCTGCCATTTTTTATTGCTGCGATACAACAACATTCTACAAACATAATTGCCAATTATACAGCCGCCACCGTTCTCCACACCTTGATTTTCACCAAAAAAGGTTCGATTTCTCTTGCGTCTGCCTGCACATTTTTACTGTCTCTCACTTATTACCGTTGCATCCGTGCAGATCACCTTTGACCTCCACGAGGCCACTCAACCATCCCGCACATGTGCCAATGCGGATAGTGGACTGTGCTTCATGGCGTCCATATTCATCGAATACTTTGGCGACGATAACATGACTGAGAAAGACTGGGCTATTCACTTCAGCAACATCCGCATGCTCATGAGCAACGACAATGCCGAGTTCAACATCACACATACCACAGGCGATCACCACATCATCACACCTACGGACGCGTTTGAAGGGTTTAGTGTGTTGAGAGAGAAGCACGAGTTGGTTAATGAGTGGGAGTACTGGATGCTATTCCAAACTGATGTGATGCCCAAGTGGTATGTGGTGGACCGCACCGGTGCAGCTGCAGTGATCAATAACACCAACACAGAAACTCTCGGATTCTATTCAACACTGTTTGGCGACAATGTGAATGGCTACGACCAGTTAACGAAGGACACCGACGGCATGCGATACATTACCAACGAAGCACAGAGATTGAATGCGACTCAGCTCAGTGATGTGCGTATCATACCCAAACCCCTAAACACAACACGTGGAAGCGGCCAGATTGACGTCAATCTGGGCTTCAATCTGCTGGACACGACTCTGCCTGAGCCTATGCGCGAGGCTATCACGCTTGCCTTTGACAAACTCGGCACATCTCGTGCTATACAAGGCCACGAGGTGAGCGTGACTGTGGATCCCGACGGGGTATCATCACATGCAGCCCATGAGGAAGGCTACGAGATGATACTTTCCAGGAATGGATCATTCATTCGAGGATATGATGTTGCTGGTGCGTTCTACGGCGTTATGTCGCTGATAGGTCTCATCCGTCTGCCTGAAACGACTATACCCGAAGTGGCTATCATCGATGCCCCGCGTTTTGCGACCAGAGGAGCCTTCTGTGGTATGTTTGCTCGCTTAGCGGGATGCTACGGAACGTCTTGTATGTTTTTTTTGGGGGTGTTTGTGGCTATTGCACAAATAGCTGTTGGTCAGCCCATCCTATGCCATAGAATTCTTTTACTTGTTGACAGGAATAGATATATATATATATATATATATACCATGAATGAACGATATGTATATGCAGAATCACAAGTCATTAAAAAACTAAACGATTAAAAATTGTCATACTATTGCAATTAATTACATTCGCATCAGATGTCGCACGCAATTTCCATAGCAAGGCGGCTGTGCTGCGACTGCTGGATGTGATGGCTGCCTACAAGTTGAACCATTTTCACATTCACTTGAGGTGTGTCACTGCTACACTCACTCGGTTGTACGAAATCAGGCAGTGTTACGTATTTATATAGTGGGGTTAAAACTGCTTCTTTTACCTCGAGACCAAATCAACTTTGATACGCGGAGACGTCGCAATGCACATTCCATAGCTTTCAACACCACAGTTATATGATTGTTCAGAGCAGCTCAAAGAAATGTATATTGGTCTGGCTAGTAGAGCTACACTGCCAACACACACACACACAAACACACACACACACATGCCTTTCAGCAAACTATGTTCTATGGCAAGTGTGAGTACCTCTAATCATGTGCACGCATCGGGAATTAAGTGTGTTTGCAATATCTCCTCGCTTCGATTTTTTGTCTTCATATGTTTGAGTAATCAGCTGTCGATCAAGGAGTCTGAAGTATATACTCGGGAGTTTCCACCATCTCCCCGTATACGCAGATGTTGAATTTCTAGTTCTTCCATCACGACGCCTACATAGCACACATGTCATTCTAAGAACTGTGATGTGTATTCCGTTTACCCTGATTTTCTCTTGATATTTTCCGAACTTCTTTTGTGGACGCATTCATCTGATTTTGCCTCGACTTACGTCTACTTGATCTAGTGACGATGAAGGATTCCGGTTGGCAATACCGGCACTACCGGAGTTGACTAGCATCGGGTCCAAGCGGTGCTACGATCCATTGGAAACCAATTGTCTGACCACGCAGCTGGGGGCAGGGCCATATAATAGTCATACACGTCAGTACTACACGGTAACTGAGTACGTGGACATCTTGAGATACGCCGCCGCACGCAACATTGAGGTCATCACAGAGGTAAGTTGCACTTGTGTGGTGCGTGTGCGCGTTCAAACGTGTGTTCAACTCCGTTCTAGTTTGAATGAATGTACCAGTGACTATGATGCTGCCTGAACACGCATGCACAATAGTACACTGCTTATGCACCCTTTCATACACTCACAAATACACCCATCATGCCTTCCATACCACTCATGTGCTCATACGCTTCTTGCACTGCCTCACAATCCTGTCAGATCGACATGCCTGGACACTCACGTGCGGCGGTAGTATCGATGTCTGACAATGACGAATACCGTCTGCACGACCCCAACGACACATCAATACTGCGCACAGTTCAGTTCTATGGTCGGGAGAGCCTGCTCAACCCGTGCGTGCCTGGCAGTAGAAAATGGACCCAGGTTGTGGTGGCTGCGGTGAAGGATATGTACACACAGGCTGGATTGGAGATGCACACGTGGCACTATGGGGGTGACGAGGTGATCAATATTTACAACCGCCCTGGCTATACGAATGTCAGTGATGCGCTGAAGGATAGCCCCTTTGAGAAGTCGCCTGCGTGTAAGAAGCGCATAGAACAGCGAAACATATCACTTAACGATATCACTCACGTGTGGGGCCACGATGTGTCTGAACTGCTGAGAGATGAGGATGTGACCAACATGCAGGCTTGGTCTGATGGCTTTAAGGGGCGGTATGTTTCTTTCGTACGTCGTAGTATCTGTTTGCTTGTTAGGATATATTAGGTCCTTTTGAATGCATCGTGTTGAAATGATCTTTGCTTGTATAGCAAGGGGGAATTGGTTATCTGCACAAGTGACTTTTCACAAAACTGATACTTTGACTCACATGAGGCGAGAGAGACGGTAGTACATGGACCAATGGGTAATATACATTACATGCTTTGGCACTACACCGATTTTATGCGGATTTTTCACCTCTGTGCTGCATACAACAAAATTATAAGCCACAGCACTGAGCCGTAGTGCAAGACGACGGCAAATTGCCAAATTGGATATCGATTTCAAGTATTGTTCAGAGATACTCGCAATGTGTATTTGCACAGCTCAATACACGCACTACTTTGTCTTCATAAAAGCCTACGAGAGTGCTGGTCTCCTTCCCCACAAATGGTCTCGCTGAACCTATTTTCGCCCACTTTTCTTGTACCTTTCTATATCTTGTACATTTATTATTTCCTTCCAATCGCGCAGTCATGGCATGTAAATACACTTGAAACAACATCTGCTGGCAATAACGTTTTACGCACACACATGTATGCGCAGCGCACACGATGAGTACTCCACCTATAGGACCACGGTCAATTTGTGGGAAACCGTGTTCTGGGGTGCTGATGCAAGTGCCTCCGAATTCAATCATCTGGGTCACGATGTGTTGCTGAGCTGTCCGGATTTCACCTATTTTGATATGCCGTATGAGAGGAATCCGAAGGAACGGGGCTACTATTGGGCCTCTAGATCTTCCAATACGCGCAAGGTGTTTGGAATTGCACCGGAAAATCTCCCGCAAACCGCTGAGTATACACCACAAGTCTCTGGGGAAGCATACACGGTGAAGTCGAGCGATCATATGCCAGATATCAAGGGTATCACAGCGGGTGTTTGGAGTGAAACCGTGCGGACAGACGATCAATTTGAGCACATGATGTTTCCTCGTTTATTGGCCATTGCAGAACGGGCGTGGCACAGGGCCGAGTGGGAGCTGGAGTACGTACCGCTGCAGGTGTACGGCAACGGCACAGCATATGTCGACCAGGCAGCACTGCAGGTTGACACCGAAGACTTCATGGAGGTTTTAGGTAGTCGAGAGATGGACAAACTTGCTGCAATGGGCATACACTTTCGCGTGGCTCCTCCAGGTATCAAGTACACAGGCAGAGTTCTGTCAGCCAACCACGACACCCCCTCAGCAAGCATCGAGGTGGACCTTGGTACTGGTTACCTCGAGTACACACGTCCCTTGCCTTTAACAGACTCCAGCGCAGTGATCAAAGCACGTGCCGTGCATGCGGGAGAGTATTCGCGAGTCATTGTGCTGGATGTGGGCGAGTGCGAGTGTGCGACACTGATAGCCTGTCGGCTCAATGCCACATCGTTTGAGAACACCTTCAGCTGTGATTGAGGGGAACAGCCAAGCTCAGGCACATATTGAGGGCACCGAGTGAATATTAGAGGTATCTGCAATTCTACATACCACGAGACTACTTGTTGATGGATGTCCAAGTCTTAAATGTACACGATGGGGCTATACTGTTTATTGTCAATCGTTTCTTGACTGAAAGCTACAAATATTACCAGTGACATACTTGCACACATATCTGAATGCGTCCTAGACTTGTGCATTTTGCTCTGGTCAATGCACATATGCTCACAAAAGTGTACGTGTACATTTGCATGGTCATGTACATATTCATGCTTCAGTAGTCCCGTACATGTCTCGAAGGGTGCACACGCGCAGAGTGTATACTGCCGGACGCAAATTACTCGGCACTGAAGGTCTGAAGCGCTGCGATGTGAACATAGAATCTCCGGGAGTATGCCGGAGATAGACTGCACATGGACAGTTCACGCGCGTTCTGATGTAGAAAGTAGTTCCCGAATGCACTACTCAGCCTTTCCACCATACACAAGACACGCAGCTGAGCGTGTATGATACGTACATTATTATAGCCAGGAATGAACATCAAAGTGCCTGTGACACGAACTCAATTAGATTACTTTCGAAGTGAAGCTATATAAAAATCGACGTTAAGACCAATCGTACTCTCCGTGGCAAAGATGCTACCATGGTGATAGTGAAACAACATCTTTGCTATGCAATTCGATTGTTCGGATGTTTGTGACATTACGTGATAAATAAGACTGTGTGTTAAACCAAAGTACAGTTGATGTTAGTTGACACTGGAAATTCGTCTACAGTGCGCGAAATATAACACTATGACGCTGCTCTAGTCGTAGATGTGAAAGTATTCGACTACAATTACCAGTTGAGCTGCAGCAATAGTAGGTAGAGCCTATGGTCAATACGTATAAGATGTTTCCTGGTAGTGCTGCAGTTGTAGTACCACAAAGGCAAACCGACATTGATAGTATTGTATATGATCGGTGCCTTGGCACATATTTAGTCAGTATATAGATACACCTATAGTACGAGAAGGAGACGATAGACTAAAAGCAGGGCATTGAGTATGATTTTAGTAGTTGAGCGCAAGGTCAGGGTCAACAGAGTTACAACAGTTTATAATGTGATAACAGATGCTCATTTTATTATACAATCTATGTCCAACTTAACATCAAGTGTCAAATGTAAATGCAGCTTCGCCAATAGATATTGGAAAACGAAGATGCACATGTTGTAGCTGCTGAAAATCACAGCACAGGCGCGCAGTCGGAGGATATCCGGGGCATATTGCACACGGCAGTCTGCACTCAACGGTGTGATTTCTTCCCTTGTTGGCGGTACTTCACCATCCTCTCCACAGTCTGTGTCAAAGTGAGATCGAGCTGAGTATGCAGCGCGAATACTACGTTCGTATGGAGGTATATATGTGAGCACGAAGATATCAGCATTGGTTAAACCCTTTCTCTGATACTCCGGTATAAAAAAGCAGAAGAATTTACAAATATCGACAAATTAGAGGCTACCAAACTTGCAAGGACAAGTCGGATTTCTGAGCCTACATCGCATGACGAAATGCCTAAGAACCAGGAAACTCACAGCTCGATACATGGCGAATGTAGATAACAACACAATACTTACCCCGCAGCAGCTCTGAGTGTACGCGACATAGTCGATATCAGTGCATAGGAGCGAAAAGTTCTTCCGGTCCCTGTGTAGTAGTAAAAGTAGGCCAGCATTGATATAAGTATGAACAGAAATCATTCGTGCACATGTACCAAGAATATCTATCTCCGCACACACGAGTGGATGTACAGCATGAATCAGCGATATTTGACCCCCACAAGTAAAACTACGTGGAAAGAGCGACCATTCCAAATTCCAGAGACACAATTTTTCTAATTGGGATATGCAGAGAATGCAAATATGTTTCAACTTGTACTATTAAGAGACAGTAGCACGATCCGAGACTGAACTATGGGGTACAGTGTGGATAACCGAGGCTCACAAATGTGCCTTAAAAGCTAAAGGCGCAAGCCAAAATCGAGCAACTGCAAAATCGTAGCTGCAAACAGAGCAAAAATACAAGTCCGTTGGTTTAGACCTACGATTCGTGGAGTAGATTATGGAGATGTTGCACATTCTCAATTGGGAAGGAGAACCTGCAAGCAAACAAAATCAGTAAAAAGAAGGAATGCTCGATTATCATGACATGCGAATGGGTTGGTAATAGTTCGTCATTACTAGTTTTTGAGCCGAAGAAAATGCAGAAGATTAGAAGCGATCGAAAGCTCTACTCAATTGAACTGTTCCATGTTATTTGTATTTAAACAGCAACTGTAGGGTAACAAATAACAGCAGGCGAATAGCCTGTCGATTTCAATGACAAGTACAGCACACAATCACAATTGCACACAATCACAATTGCACACAATCTTATCACACAGCCAAGCTTAGCCTGTATAAGGACTCACAGTAAATCCGGCGCGCAAAGTTTTTCACACAGATATGTTACGCTCTTCACAGATGCATTCTTGGGACAAGCCAACGAGCCAGACATACGCAGTTACTTGCGTCAGGTCTGTGCGTGAATACATTCACTTATGTCTATAATATGTTTAACCCACCTGGAGTGTCCAAAGCATGAGAAGATAAGGAGGGCATCCTTTAACTTTCGAAAGCCTTTTCTGCGGCCTACAAGATTGGCTAAGATTTCCGTGCGCATTCTCAACTGTTTCTTGAATTCAGCTCTATCTTCCGTAAAGATCAACCTGAAAACAATGGTCGGCCAGACATTGGTGACAAGAGCAAAAACAATAGCTCACACGCACTCCGAGCCTATCGTTAACACATGCACTAACATATGGCATAGATGTGCATGCGGAGGCAGGTTTCTATACTAAAGGTAAATGGTCTGAGGTCAGGTCGTGAGTGTTTTGGATATCAGAAGTGGATCTATCGAAAAGTGAGTAGATATCATGAAGTAGATCGTTGAGATATTTGAGAAAATACATGCGTGCAAGTGTAATTTAAGTCTATTTCTATGACACACACACACACACAAGCACACACACACACACACACACACACACACACACACACACACACACACACACACACACACACACACACATATATATATATATATGTGTACGGTAACGGTAACGGTTAAGGTTATACTACCTACCGTTCGCAC